CCTTGCGTGCTGTAGTTAAGGGGCCCTTGTATGCAACGAATCGTTCGTTGTCCAGGATATCCGAAATCGAGTCACAAGATGTTGCATCTTGCCGCTGACCAAATTGTGAAAGGTAAGGCTGAAGCGACTTCTCGACTTCTGGAAGAGTGCTGTCCATGTTTGCAGCTACGTCTGTGATCACGATATAGTTAGTGACGTGGCGAACAAAATCGAATACAAAGCAAGGTAAGAATTGCAATATACCAAGGCTTTCATGTTCCCAAACATTTGCTTTCATGCCGACTCCGTAGAAAGCATGCTTGCGCAAGAATGCTAGCCATGTCTGTACAACCTGAGGGTTGCCGTCTTTGATTTGTACCAAGCGTCGGAGCGTAATCCTTTCGAAATTCTCCTGACTCTTTTTATGCACGAAGTTACTTCTAGGAACGGTCCATCGCTCAACAATTCGTGGCAGGGGCACCGGCCCCGAGACAGGGAGGTTCAAATAGTAAGCCGCCCGCACAGCAAAATCGGCGAAAAATTCGACGTTCCGTACGCTGTAAGATCTCAACTGAAGATCACAAACTGGCAGGCCAAATTCGGCCTTCCTCCGGAGGGGTCGTAGGTACACAGCTTGAACGCTCCTGGGAAGTCGAGCCTTATTATTAATGCTCTCAAGGCGTTCTCTCCTAATCATGAGTGAGCGCATGTCATCGAGAGCAATTTATTGGAGATATAAATCAAAGTCCAGACCATTGTTTCGTTTGCGTCTCGGTCGATTTCCTGTACGAACACACAAGTCAGCTCTTCGAAGTTGTTCAAGGTGGTCGTGAGAGCGCTAACAGTGCACTGGATTCAGCTGAGCCTGCTGGGGGGAGAGTATCGGTCGTTGACGGTGCAGGATGGGTTATCCCAGAGGAAGTGCTGTAACCTCTGAAACCTGCTAATAACTGAAAGCTGTTGGTATGGTTTCGCTAAAAGGGTAGGATGGGGTGACGAAAGATTACCTGGAACTGCCTGCCAGTGCATTTAAGTAGCCGAGGGTTGAGGGATAATGTCATGGTTGAAATCAATGTCTGGAAGAGTTGAATAAATGAAACACAAAGAACAATGCGCCAAATCCCTAGGTCCGTAGTATTGCAGGGACCTTGTACATAAACTCACTTGAATACCTACAATCTTTTTTCCATCAGGGCCCCAAGGATAGCGAGCGGAAGGCCACCCTTGATTGGCCACGAAAATTGACCGCCTTGTTTGCTCATCCGATCACATGACTATTTACCAGCTTCTAGATACTACTACTAGTTGTGGATGATAAATCGTGCTTTCTTGGGAATTAAGAGCACAATCAAGTTGATTCTAACGCTGTAGATATATTTTATGGCCCCGGAGTACCTTTTTTGACAACCAACTTACCCACCACCACTACTATCGTGAAAGTGGAACGAGAATCATACTTCAAGCAATCATGGCATCCTCTCGCAGCTCATCATTTCAACATGCGAGTGAGGCATGCTCATTCCTGAAGGAACGCCTACCGGATTCATTGAAAGCACCTCGAGTTGCAATAATCTGTGGCTCTGGTTTGGGAGGGCTCGCAGGTACCATTGATCGCTTGCCTCAAGTCGATTTCGATTATGCTTCCATACCCCACTTTCCCCGTTCAACAGGTAGCCGTGTCCTCATAATTCGAAAGCCGTGACGCTTTACGCTCATTTATCAAGTTGCTGGCCATGCAGGAAAACTAGTCTTTGGACTACTCAGTGAAAATATACCTACAGTGTTGATGGTTGGCCGTGCTCAGTGAGGCTGCTCCATCAAGAGGGATTATTTACTTAGCTTGCTAATCAAACCTTCCAAAAGTTATTACGAAGGGCATTCCATTGACCAAGTGACATTTCCTATACGTGTCTTCAAACTCTTGGGGGTTGACACAATTATCTGTCAGTTATATGCTCTTTCTTCGTCGAAGCCCCAAGTGATGTACTACTGATAGTTTACTGGTTTATAGTAACCAACGCCGCCGGGGGACTGAATCCTGAATATATGGTAGGAGATATTGTTCTGCTGAACGATGTAAGTGTATCACTACTTGACAGCATCCAAGCACAGCTTTAACACATTCAATTTCTAGCACATATTCTTGGCTGGCCTGGCGGGGGTTCATCCACTACGCGGTCCGAACTCGGAGGAGTTTGGCCCCCGGTTCCCACCTCTATCAGATGCGTACGACCTTCAATTGCGTTGTAACGTTCACAAAGCATGGGCCAAGATTGTAAATGTAGAAAGCAAAAGAAGACTGCATGAGGGAGTGTATGCCTTCGTCGGGGGCCCTAGGTAAGCTTTGTCCATCTTGATGAGCTAATGACCAGAATTCTAAAGGATTCAGTTATGAGACCCGAGCAGAATGCCGTATGCTTCGCCAGCTAGGCGCCGATCTCGTCGGGATGTCGACCGTACCGGAGATTGTTGTTGCCAGGCATTGCGGGATTAGAGTCCTAGCTTTGAGCCTGGTAACGAACAACGCGGTTCTCTCACCAGTGCCTCGCGGAGACGACCACCGTCTTCATGGGAAAGATGTAGCAGAACTCGGTGAGATTTTGCAAGAAGGAAAAGCGGACCATCAGGAAGTCCTTGAGGCAGGCCGCTCCGCCGCCACGGACATGCAGGTATGCACCGCATGACTCCCTCCAGTTTTCGCGCACTGATAGTAACTATCAATTCAAGAAGCTTGTTATACAAACCATCGCGGATGTCTTTCAGTCAGGCTCGTATGGAGATACGATCGGTGGCCGGTGAGTCAGTGCGGATGGGGAGGACTATTTGAGCACTGGGGCACAACTAGACGCTCCGGCAATGTCAGAGACTTCAAATTAGGTTTCTTTTGTCCAGAGACTGGTCATTATGACTGTCTGAACAGAAACCAATTCATTCACTTGCTCCTCGTGTTCCGTTTCGCTCGCAAATTCTTGTAGTAGGAACGTTTGCCGCTCTGCTTGAGAGACTGGATGTCCTTGTACTTAGCCTCAAATCGCTTGTTTCCTTGCTCCGCTGCCAGTGCTTCCTCAACGAAAGTCTTCTTTCTATCCCTCTTAGCGATGCGGCTACTGAAAAACTCAGTCGGACCTTCGATGATGGTTCCCACTTGAGAATACTGAGGAGGGCGTGCTTTGCCGCCCTCCTTCTTGTAATGCCTCTTCGGATCCAATACCGAGCGCATTCGAAGCAACTGCAGGTCTCTCTTGAGTTCTGTGGTCAACTCCGTCTTTGGAAGATCGAACCAAGCGCTGCCAGCTGTGGCTTTGTCCTGAAAAGAAGACAAGTTAGCTATCGTCACCCATATAGGCAAAATAGCAGGATAGTAATGATGGGGTTGATGCTCAGAGTAACTATGAAACAAAAATGTGTACTCTCATAGGCACAGCGCATCCCAGTACGGGATGTTTAGCTGCATCAAGCGCTTACGCGATGGGATTAATTTTCCTCATAGCATCCGTGACAAACGACACAACAAAGGTTTTCAAGGGGAAGTAACGCGTCTTACCTTGGAACTTGGCTTTGAGCTTTTAAATCCAGTCGGTCGCATCTCGAGTGGCGATCTGATGCTGGGGCTTTTCATTGCCCCGATGGCATCTTCCACAACTGCAACATCATCTTGTTGACGGACATATGGCCTTAGGGAGCCTCCTGGTGCCAACTTAGGGATACTAAGCAACAACAAATTAGCTTTCGAAGGCGTACAAATTTCGACGGGTACACATACTGAACTGAGGTTGCTTCCAAACCCACATTGATCAAGCTATCGGCATTGGAAGCATTGGCCGTAGCATCACTGGGCCTCAAGCGATCCTCAGCCTCGCAAAGCAACTGTTCAATATCTTCATCATTTAACCTGACCTCATCCTGTGGTGGGACACTGGTAAGTTCAATGCATGTTGCACCTGTCATGTCCTATAGTAGAGGATTCAGGTAACTCGTGTGTGCACAAGTTAAGGTAAAAGGAAGACCAGAAAGTGGAAGCCCACAAGGTAGGTATTTATAGCGTAAATTCAGGGCTACTTTCCTGTGGAAGAAGTTCAATGGCAAGCTCGATGGAAAATTTGTGTTGTGGGGCGGAACCTCACCTTAACTAACCCCTTGGCAACTAGTACCTATGTGGAGATATGCCTGCAATACCGGGTTATTATTATTCCCGCCCTATAGTCTCGTTTTGGAACTGCTTCGGTATCAGTAGTAATTGTCTATCTGTTTCGCTCCTCTTAACACCTTCAACTTGCTGACCGCTAATGCATCAAACCAACTGGCTCTGCATGCACAAGAAGGGCTGATAATCTTCATTCTTCAAACTGTGGGTGTATATACAATTTGTCACATCTATTCTGTAACTTGCCACTTTCCGGCGGTCGAGTGAAATTCTTCCGAGCTGCTATAGCCATCTAACAGTCCACTTCAAGGTGTCGGAAATCAAATGTAGTACTTATCCATCATGTTACTACATAGTGATGATTGTCTGTCAATGGTTGGTTGAGTATGGATGCTAGTGTATAGCCCATATTGCAAGGTCCTGACTATTTAGAGCTAGTGTCGCTCGGTCCAGTTGCTTTGTATAAGATTTGAGTGCAGAGCACCAATGTGGCATGTGAGCGTCATGATCTCATAAAGTCATGCCATTTTCTAGTGATTTATCACTCTGTACAATTAGGTTATTCGTATACTGTTCGGATATTGTGAGCGCTCAGCCCGATGTATAAGTATCAAATTGTGTTCCCGAAAATCAATGCATTGACTTAAGTGTCGTAATACTGGCTGGAACTTAAAAGCCAGAAAGTGAAATTTGACACATGATTAAAAACTATCAAGCTCACTGGAAAAGAAAGAAACGAAATCATGGATCTCCTATACGTAGCACCGATCCTACGGAGTACTACTATGGAGTATGTTCAGAGTAAAAAGTGTGGGTTGTCATCGACCTCCGCAGGGTCTGAATGCCAAGAGGCTTCTGCTAGCGTCACTCGGGCTGCGCTACGCTTGGCGCCGCGTCTTTGCCATGGTTGCACGCTACCTACATACAAAGGCATCGATACACAATCATCTGTTTGGCGCCTTCTATCTCCATTATCGATCTGTTACTTCATAAAGCTCACTAGGTCACTATACTTCAAGACTTCGACCCCTCAACCAGACTTCGACCCCTCAACCAGACTTCGACCCCTCAACCCTCTTGGTAAACCGGCTGGGTTGCTTCTATCTAGTCTGTCGCGTCCCAACACCCCGCTATCGCGCCTGTTGAGATCGCCTTTTCATCATTTGCCAGACGAGTGTGTGACAGTACTGTTGCGCACGTCTTATATCTATTTACAAGTGGCTGGGCTAGTCATTTAATCATGGAGCAAACTGCACAAACCCCTGGAACACAGCAGGGCAGGCAGCAGCCTGTGTACGACACCCGAAATGGTGGGCATTATGGTGAATATTCCTCAAAATCCCCTACGCGTGTTCATGTCTACATACACATATACACGTGAAAATCCACGCTCAAGGCTGATGGCATGTCCTTAGGTGCTAGCGCAGCGGTATGGTCGCCTTTAGAAGCTTGCGAGTACGCCTACGTTCTTAAGGCTAACATGCTATATACGTCTAGCTTTCTGCGCAAGGCTATGCGCCTGTTGCCGAGCTCTATACCGGGACATGGGCGAATGTGGGTTTTCTACATTGGTAGAGAATATAGCATGACTGACATTCCGCCAGGTCAACCAAGGCTTGCAAGGAACCGCCCGTGATATACTTACAACATACTGGCAGCACATCATCAACCATCTAGAATCGGACAACCATGATTATAAGATACACCAGCTACCACTTGCTCGCATCAAAAAGGTCATGAAGGCTGACCCAGAAGTTAAAATGATATCAGCGGAGGCACCAATACTTTTTGCCAAAGGCTGTGATATCTTTATCACTGAACTGACCATGCGTGCATGGATTCATGCCGAGGACAACAAGCGCCGTACACTACAGAGGTCTGATATTGCAGCAGCACTATCAAAGTCTGATATGTTCGATTTCCTCATTGACATAGTACCTCGCGAGGAGGCCACGTCCCATGCGAAGAGGTCTAGCCAGACAGCTGGAGCTTCTGCAGGCGTTCCTGGCCCCGCAGGAGCTACCGGCCAACTGCCACCATCTCAACACGGTGTTCCCCATCACATGCCTCCGCCGGACTATAGTACGCTGGGTCAGCATGGGCTCCAAGATCAAGAGTACCGGCCGCCGACGATGTATGCTGGAGCTGTGCAGTCTGACCCCACGGCTGCCTATGGTCAGCATCAGCCTCAAATGTTCGAAGGAATGTATGCAGCATATCCGCATCTACCACCTCAGCAGGTATGTTAATATTATCACGAGAACCCCACCTCCTTTCTCGTCTCTTCCCTTTTGCTATTGTTTTAGCTGTTATCTACATTGGCTTAACCTTGACTAATGCACTGGACACCAATAAGTGAGTGATGATGGCACTCAAAAGTAGGCACAGCCTGAGCGGCACACGAGGATTATAAGTACAACGGCACCATGCCATCGTATCCGCTACCCGGTCAAGGAAGTGACCAGCTATGTACTGTGATGCAACAGCTATGCGTTGCAAATGTTACGGAGTTATCGTGAAGCAGATCTCATACCCACATATTTTTCAACACGTTCTTCCTGAATAAAATTGGTGCACTTGCTCGATGGTACATAGAATTGAAGTAGCCCAAGTAGTCAGCACAATTCATGACTTCTTGCCAAATCGCGAGGAGAGAGTGGAGAATTTATCTGCTTTTACAGGACTTTGAACGGTACGTATGATCCTTCTTGTTGGTTAGTAATAATATCCAGGCTATGGTGGTTGGTAACGCACTTCTCTAACAGGACGGGACCATGAATAGCGTCCACACGACCGTACTTCTTGTTCCGCGTAGATATATCATAGAACTCGTCAGTGTTATCTGCTTGCATCAATTGCACAGTCTGTTGCAGCTCGTCAAGGTTTTCTCGGAGTATGGGAACACCAAGACCATCAACAAATTGGGATAGGTATTCGACATCTTTTGCAAGAGCCATTACACCGTTTGGGTTGATCCTTTTCACCTCCGGAGAGAGAGGGAGTGCCTGACGGAGGTTAGCAGATATACAGTAGATTTATCGCTTAGCGCTACTTACAAGAATCATATTCGCGGCATGACTGAGAGCGTCGAAGTAGATAAGTTCTTTGATTTCTGTCGGCAAGCCGAGCAGCGTCGAGTTCATGATGTTTGACAAGAAGCGTGTTAGTGTTTGCATGTAGTTGCTAGGCTCTGCGGGTGGGACAGATGCCATCCAATCGTACTCAGCCGTTTCTATGAGGTCATCAATCTTGGAATTGACAACTTCGAAGATACGTTTCTCTGCCGCTTTCTTATTGCTTCTGAACTTCTCGGTAGCGTTCAAAGTGACCACGTCACCGGAGACATTCTGTGATCGAGCAGCAGCGAGTAAAAGCTCAAGTTCGCGACAGGCAAGCTCAAAATGCTCTAGGTTTATCAGAATCTGCACAATCTGCCCCAGATATTGTGAGGAAAGACGTTCGACAAGGGTGTCGCAAACTTTGTCTGATAGGAGTTCATCCAGTGCCTAGAATGGTAAGAAGTGTGAAGGTATATGTGATATAGCATACTTACATCTCTTAGGGTTTCGTCAATGAGACTGGGGTGAGAGAAATCGTCATTGGCAAAAAAGTAGAACTGATTCAGAAAGTTTCGGATGTCGATGCAGCATAAGGGATACATTTGGGAAAATGGTAAGACACACGGAAACCTGCGCTATCGTTAGTGATGATTGATTTAAGTGTCTTAAGTTAACAGTAGGAACGTACACTTGCTCCTCCCTTGGCTTGTCAGGGCTGTACCAACTGACATTCAGTACCTTGTCAAATTCCTCGATTGTCTGGATAGGCATAGGCATATAATCATCGGTCGATACTATCTTCACGGGTTTTAATATAGAGAAACAGAACCGATTGGTAAGGAAACATACCTCTCGGAAATCGTCACTAAATCTTTTCTTGAGAAGGTCGGCATATTTCCTAAAAAGTATCAAGAGAAAGTCATCGAACACCCCGACGTGAAAGTCCCATGTCTATTTTCAAATTCGTCAGTATGTCTCGCCAACATTCAGACTCAGAGGTCAACAGACATTCATTGTTTGCATGAACAATGCGATGAGATTTTTTATTTTCAGTAGGCTTTCAGCATTGTCAACTTCATGGAGAGCCCCCGATATTAGGATCACAGCAGTTTGGCACATAGAATCCCATAATTCATCGACCTTTACCAATTCGTTCAGCCCAACAAATCTACCCGTTCATTCAAAGAACAAACTCACATCAACAGAAGACCTCAGGTCCGGAACCCTCTTCATTGTAGAACGCTCGACAATGGCAAACCCTGCCATTTCTTCGAGAAGATTGTGCAGACTAGCCCCATCTTCATCAACAAGAGTAATGGAGGCTGGTAGCAAAAGTTCCTTCTGCCGACGCCGAGTATTAGCGTACTCAGCTCGAAATCTATCCATATGCCCTAATGATCGATGAATGTGGAGGCATTCAAATAAAGGCGTAAAGTCCACTTGAAGTTCCTCGTTTTGCAAAAGATCGTACTCTTCGCTCTCGTCGGATACCAGCTCAATTGCCGAATTGAGCTTGAATTGACCAAGATATGGAGATATCTCTGTCCGCTCCTTATGCCTGGTCTTTCGCAAGTCTGTATGATATAAAGCGATCTCTCCGAGGTACTGCGACATTTCTCGGATTCTGTATAGCCAAGTATTAAGGTCAGACATGACAGCTTCAGCTATTGCTTTTTGTGTTGTTGGGACTGAGCGCTGAATCATGTCCGCGATTTTATACTGCGTCACCCCTTTAAGATGGACATTCTGCAATTCTTCTAAAGCGCGCAGTGCGGCATAATGATTCTTCTTAGCGAGTAGATCATGAACTTGATTCGCGAGACGCAACACCTCGAGACAGTCCTGTATAGCTCTAGAAGTCTCATCGATGTTCTGCCGGTGACTCCGTGACTCTACCAGAGCTCTCTTCTGTTCAGCCAGCTTTTCGGTGCTTGCTTGTATCGACTGGTTAAGGTCCAATATTTCAGCAGTCAGGCTGACTGTACCTTCCCTGATGCGCAAAAGTTGATTCACTGATGTTACGAATTCCTGGTGATTGGTATTGCATATTGTCTCTATCTCAGCCTCCTTGTCACTAGCAAATCTAGACAAAGTCTGTGATAGTTGTGATGTTCGGTTGCCGACGCTGTACTCTTTGATGGAAGGAATCAATTGGTCGAGGTAGTCCGCGTCTGAGGGAGATATGATAAGCTATGGAGACCATGAGTATTAGTTAGTAGCCCGTCGCACAAACTCTTTTCCCATGCGTACTTGATTCAGGAGGTATGACGACTCATTGCGAGATGGTGCCACTGATGGCATTGTGACGAGTTTGTATGTGGGAGTCGGCTGCGGTAGATAACAGAAACCAATCGACTAGTGTGACAACTTGCTCACTATCAAAGACAAAACGCGCGTCAAATTCTCCAAAAAAAAAGGGGGCAGTAAAGACTTCAAAGGAACTGCCAGAAGCAAGTCAACTATTCGCGGACACAGAAGAGTCACTCGGTTTGCGCGGGTAAGGTTACACAGTATGCTGAAACCCCCATGATATGTGATAAGTTGTACTCTTAATGTTACGTTTCCCTGCCAGCTTTCCGATTCCTCAGCCGTTGCGGGGATCCCACGAGATGGGGCCGCGGGCATACATTGCTCTAGCCCGTTTTGGACACAGCCAAACTTAGTTATGTCCAATATCCAATGAAAGCGTGAAGCTCGGCGCTCAAGACTCAGATTACTACTCCAAGGTACTCTAATTGAACTATGAACTATGATCTCTAAACAATATCAGACGGGCATTTGTGAGTTGTCTAGCGACCAAAGTCATACCTGCTAAGAACAACTAGGGTTTCACTGTCTCGATTTTCAGTTCTCCAAGGATCATTTTGTCCGCTTCTTCATATACCTGGTTTGTTTAACCCCTAATATTTCCCACCGAGTAAATTTCAAGAGTTTCAAATTTCTCTCCTATAAAGTCTCCGAAGTGGTCTGTATGATCAGCTGGCATAGACCTGAAGGCGGCTATCGTTTCTTAGTCTATTCTGCGTTAACCTTTTACCTTCTAAGAAAAGTATCACTGGCACTAGCATTAACATTTTTTTTTTTGGAGCTGAACAGAGGCTTGGAGTCATTTGCAAAACCAGGACACTGAGTATTCCAAGCCCCTTCGTAACAAGCTATCAAGAGATGGACGAACCGTGAGGGAAGGTTGCTGATGTGTTTGGGTTCCTCTCAAGTATGAACAACAAGTAGCAATCTGATACCAGCCTTCTCTGGTTCATTATTAACCCTTGAAACATCTTACAATGGGCCACTTGCGCAACCGAGAGGATTAAGTGAGGGGTTTCTCCCATGTTCTGTCTTTGGGCATTGGTATCGAGGCAGTTTATTTGAGTCTGGGATTCAACCTCTTACTGTATACAGTGCTTTAACAACCCTCTTGCTCGAATGGAATGACACTACAAGTTCTCTGCATCTTGACTATCTCCCGAGTACCTACCCGTATTTCACATGTTTTGTGACTTTTACAAAAGATGAAATATACAAGGGGCATCTTCCCTGTGTTATTAACCCAGTGTAAATCGGTGAACTGTTCAGTCTCCACCCTTGGCGCCTAGATTGGGGATGGTGGTTGTGGTTCCAGTCCCGTCGCAGTATGTGTAAAAACAGGCTCTAGAAGCGGTATGCTGTTGGGGTTTATCTCTCTCTGTGGGACGTGCTATTCCACATCTTCCCCTGGAGACGTGTTCTGTTGGTCTTATCTCACCTCTCCTTCTGCTTCCGATATTTGACGTGACAGAGGATCTATCTTTTGTTCGATTGCTTTTTCGGGTAGACTTCTAGGCGGCCGAGGCCTCTACTTCAATATCACGGTTTCCTGGGTTTGTTTGCTGTAAGGTGCTTTTTATCCACAACTGACTGTGTGAGTCTGGGCTCGCTCTCTAAGACAGACCACCCCCGATAAGACAGAAATATCCTATATTCAACTGTATTCTATCAACATCTTCACAGCATGAGGCCAAACGATACGTCCCACAGCTTGAGCAGTCCTGTTTCTACAAATGACCTAGGCTCTGCCAATGGGTCCCCTGACACCAAGCTTACAGCATATTCACCTGAGGATATGCGATCTACCTGCCTTCGCTCTGACTCCAATGTTGGTGACCCATTGGGCGACATTGGCAAACGAAAGTTATACCTGACGTAAGTGTACGATGACTATCTTGGTTTCAGATCCGTCAGTGACAAGACCAGATCATCCTCTGACCCCTTTCTGGTGTCGACGAACACTTCTACCCGTGTTCAACTTTCACCAACAGCAGCAAGCTTCACACCAATTGGCGCGGCAGACAACGTTCTATCTAGGAGCAAGGCAACTTCACTGTCTCGAGGCTTTCCCGGCGTTGGCTATCTAACAGCAAGCT